CCTAAACAGAAGGCCTGACTCTTTTTGGTGGCTCTCTTAATGTGAAAACTAACATTAGTCTTATTTGACCTGCTTGGAAAAGCAAATACTCTTTCAGGAAAAAAAGCTGCCAACTGGAGGGGTTCTCCTAATCTGCCATCATTGTGGATTAACTTTATTGAATAGCAACTGTACAAAATACCATGTTAAAGGAGAAGGAGCTCCACGTCAAACCTCAGAGATGGTCTATCTCTCCTCCCTACTCAATGACTATACTAAGTTAGACACTGTCCTGATGATGATTATGTGTCCAAGAGGATCAGCATCCATAACAGTAAGGATTTGAGCTCTCTGGGGGAAATCAAGGAAGCTAATGTATCAATTGTTTTTCATTAATCCTAAATTCCTTTTCTATTGTTACAGATAGGTCAGATAAAACAAGACAAAGAAAAGTCTGCTGGCTCAGTAGAAAACCTGGTAAGGAACAGAAAAGTAACTGACTCATCAATAGTGATCTCGGGGAAAAATTCCATGTGATTCATTTGCTGCTTTTTCCCTTTTAAAGAACATCGATGAGTGAGAAGAGAAATAGAGGCATGTTTTATCCCATTCAGTTAAAACATTACTTAATAAAGATAGCAGGCACCCTGTTTCCCAGACTTTAGCAAGAAGAAGAGTAGGCAGCATTAAAGTGTAATACCAACTTTCCATTTCTTGGACATCCAACTAGATTTACAGAGAGCAGTCATCAGCATTGTCAGACACACACTGCTCTCTTCACCTGCTATTGTCCAGTGCTTCTCCAGGGAAAAAATTTTGTCACTGTGTTCGTTATACTTTACTGTTGTTAAGAATACAAATGAGACAGAACATTAAAAATTCCGCCCAAAAACTGTTAGAACTGACAAAAGAATTTAGTGAATTAGCAGGATACAAAATTAATATTCAGAAATTGGTTACATTTTTATACACCAATAATGAACTATCAGAAAGAGAAATTAAGAAAACAATCCCATTTACAATAGCATCAAAAACAATAAAATATTTAGGAATAAATTTGTCCAAGGAGGTAAAAGACTTGTATTTGGAAAATTATAAGTCATTGAAGAAACCAATTGAAGAAGATACAAATAAATAGAAGCATATACCATGCTCAGAGATAGGGTGAATTAATATCATTAAATTGTCCACACTACTCAAAACAATCTATAAATTCAATACAATTCCTATCAAAATACCAATGGCATTTTTAGCAGAACTAGAACAAATAATCTTACAATTTATATGGAACCATAAAAGAAACCAGTTGGCTACAACAATCTTCAGAAAGAATAATGTTGTAGGTGTCACGCTATCTGATATAAAAGTATACTACAAGGCTATAGTAATCAAAATAGCATAGTGCTGGCATAAAAACAGACACAAAGATCAATGAAACAGAATAGAGACCTCAGAAATAAATCCATACCTATATGGTCATTTAATCTATGACAAAGGAGACAAAAATATACAATGAGGTAAAGACAGTCTATCCAATAAATGGCGTTGGGAAAACTGGACAGATACATGCAAAAAAAAAATGAAACTGGACCCACATTTTACACAATATACAAGAATAAACTCAAAATGAGTTAAAGACTTAAATAGAAGACCTGAAGCCATGAAACTCCTTGAAGAAAACATAGGCAGTAAACTCTCTGACATTGCTCTTAGTAATATTTTTCTGATATGACACTTCGGGCAAGGGAAACAAAAGAAAAAATAAATAAATAGGACTACATCAAACCACCAACAAAATGAAAAGACAACCTAATTAATGGGAGAAGATATTTGCTAATGACACATCTGATTAGGGGTTAATATCCAAAATTTATAAAGAACACATACATCTCAACACCAAAAAAAAAATTTATATATATCCAATTAAAAACTAAGCAGAGGACTTGAATAGGCATTTCTACAAAGAGGACATACAGATGGCCAGTAGAACTATGAAAAGACGCTGAATGTTACTAATCATCAGAGAAATGAAAATTAAAACTACAATGAGATATAATCTCACACCTGTCAGAATGGCTGTCAGTAAATCAAAAAGCAAGCATTGGCAAGGACGTAAAGAAAAGGGAACCCTCATGCATTGTTGGTGGGATTGCAAATTGGTGCAGCCATGTTCTAATCTTGACAGTTAAACTGATTTCCTAAAATAGTACACAGGAGAAAAATCAGTTCACACATAACTCAAATGATTTTACACATACCTTTACAAAGTATGTCAGTCTAGTGCTATTGCTGCATGCACTTTAAAGACAAGAAGGACACTATTGAACTAAATATTTTTTTTTTAAGGTTTTAAAAATGTCAAGTAACTTATCCTGGAGCATAGCCAAAAGAGTATTGAATCACAAGGTTGAAGAAGACCCTGAGAAACCATTTCTTCATAGTCCTTAAGAAAACAGGAGGTGGGCAAAGGAGGCTATAGGTATAAATTAAAGTCATTCTTGAGGTTCCAAATGTCTGGTTGGAGGTCGATGTGGGGAACACCCACTAGAGGTGACAGTGGCAGCATAACACTCAAATACTTTCAATTTAATTGGGAGTTTAACAACCATTTGAAGGAAGTATGTCAGTGTTTCCATCTTAAAGAGAATGTAATATTACTAATAGTAATAATAATGATGACAGTTAACCTTTATTTGGTGTTTATTATATGCCTAGCATTGTGCTAAGTATATTATTTAATCTTCACATCAATGCTATGAAGTAGATACTATCATAATCCCCATTTTACAGATGGGGAAACAGGTATGATAGGTCAAGTAACTTGCTCAAGATCACATAGCTAGAAAGTGGCAGAGCAAGTATTCAAACCCAAGATAGTCTGTCTTCTAGGCCCGTGTTGTTAAGCACTAAGCAAGGCACTGTCTGCAGAAATAGCACTCTGAGCTAATGTTAAAAAATCCTACCCCAATTTTCTAGGTCTGATATTGACCCAAGTTCAAATTTAGAGCCTGTAATGATGGCCTCAATATTTTTTTTTTCTCTCAGTGCTAGGCCTGTTTTGCTCCACATTATAGATGAATAGCTAAGCACTGAAGATTATTTTGTGGGCATAGATTTATGTTTAGATGTGATGAATTGCAAATAATCTGATGTAAGCTAACATTTAGTCTCCTTGGTATCAGAGCACATCTGGCCTCAAGATTTTTCCTAAGATATATACTTATACAGTTCAGATTTCCATAAACTGGTAATATTGCAACCAAATCAGATTAGTCACTCTAGACTGTAAGAGATTCTGCCTCAGGACCACTCTATAAAATAATATATTTTTTAACTTAAATTCTATTTTAATGAAATAATAAAACTAAATAAAAACCCATTGTTTCCTTTATAAATATTTATGAGAAATATATTAATAATGTTTTTAAGTATTTTAGTAACAAACATTTTTCAGTACTATGTGTCAGGCATAGTGCTAAGCACAATTTAATTCTCACAACAACCCTAAGATTTAGGTACTATTAGTCTGGTTTTATGAATGAGGAAATTGAGTTCGTAGAAGATATATAACTACCCAAAATGATGTAGTGAAAGAAGCAGGCTTGGAAGTCAGGCAGATTGACTCCTGAGTTCTGAGTTCTTAATCACTATGCAATACTAGCTCCTGTTGTAATACCTGTTGATCCCAGATTAGCTCCACTAGTTATTTAAAATCCAAGGAGATCCATGGTCCAATCATTCTAGCTCTCAAAGGACCCTTGTTTCTCATTTCAATCATAGTTGGTCAAATGGAGTAGAGCGTAGTCTAGTCACCTACAACCCACAGTATGAATTACAGTTTGGTGAAACCGTTCTTTGTCTCTGCCACATGTAGAATCCAAGCTCTTTTTTTCTCCACTAATTTCTCATTCACATATTTTTTTTTCTTCTATTTGGCTGCTTTTATGTATGTTTCCAAGCTTTCAATGTAATAACATTTCTTAGTTTATTAAGATTTTTATTATGTATCATTGTTGCCTACCTTACTTTATCCCTATTATAACCTACAAGGATTTGAAATCTCGTCTGGAATTGTGAAATTATTTTGGAAGAGGTGTGAGTAGCTAACTATATAAACAAATAGCGCAACAAAATGTTTGCACTCTAAATTAGTTTCTCAAGTTTAATGTGCTTGTAAATCACCTGGGGATCATGCTAAAATTCAGCTTTTGATTCATTATGTCTGACTTGGGGCCTGAGATTCTGGGATTCTTAACAACTCCCAGGTGATGCAGACCATGCTTTGAATAGCAAGGTCCTAGATTGTCTTCATCCTGCCATGCTTTTAAGTAGGACCACAATTAAATGACTCTTGGGAGATTAATGTTTATGATGTTTAAAAAACCACCCCAGGCTTCTCAGGATGGCAATTCCCCAATATTTTCGCAAACTCATCTTAATGGTTAATAGCTCTGACAGTCCAAGAAGATTTTTTGCATCTAATCTAAACCCTTCAGATGCCATGGCATTTTAATTTTGTTTTTATCTTTAGTGGAGATGGAGTACTCATTCTCTCATGGGTTACTTTATTTTAAAAATTTGAAAAGTTATTCAATGTTAACAATAATCTTTGGGATATTCTCACTGTCTCCTTTCCTTCTCTTTAAGAATCTAAGATTTTTGGGATGTCTCAGTCAGTTCTCATTCCAGCTCCTTGTTTATTTGCCTCTTCTAAGAAATCCATAAATTAGACAAACTTTGTAATTCCTTGCCAAATCCTGTTCATTTTTATTTCAATGAGTTATTTAAATGTTTGATGACCATATCCTGAATCAGATATACCCCCAACTTGCCCATAGTGCAATAAAGAGTATACTAGTAATTACTGGCTACCCAGTATACAAAGCTCATATTACAAAAATGCATACTCTAAGCAGAATCTGGTAAACATCAACTTCAAAATAAGTTGTATCATACTGTTATATTTATGACCACATGGTCAATAAAAAGAAATACTTGTGAGGTGATTAAAAATAGCATACTAGGTAAAATTGGTTGTCCAGCAATTCCCAGTGGTGCCATTCCAAGATTATTCATTGCTGTGGCCCATGTGGTTGGATCAGACATAGACAGCATCACTGCAGTGGAATCCACATTCATAGTTCTACTATTATCAGCTAAAAAGAAAAAAAAAGCAAAATAACTTGTATTAAGGTTTCAGTATCTCAATTACTTATCAATATAAACTCTGGCAAATGCTTTACAGAAATTGACTGATAGCCAAGTGGTGGATAAGGCCTAATTTATCTTTACGAGGTTTAAAACAATACAGCGTGAACTGGCAGGAAGTCATAGAATTTGAAAGCAGTTTACCAGGTGGCAGTTTAGTATGTTTCTTTCTCTCTTTCTCTCCTTCTTTCTCTCTCTCCATTTCTTCCTCTCACTCCCTTCTTCCCTTTCTCTTATTTCCTTTCCTCTTTTTTCCCCCATAAAGATTATTTTTAGAGCAGTTTTAGGCTCATAACAAAATTGAAGGTACAGAGATTTCACATATACTCCCTGTCCCCACACATGTATATCCTCATTTATTGACATTGCCCACCAGAAAAGTATGTTTGTTATAACTGATGAACCTGCATTGAAACATCACAATCACCCAAAGTCAATAGTTTAAACACATTAATGTTCATTCTGGTGTTGTACATTCTATGGGTTTGGACAAATATCGATCATTATAGTATCATACAGAGTATTTTACATGCCCTAAAAATTCTCGGTGGTCCACTTATTCATTCCTCCTCACTTCCCAACCCCGACAACCATTGATCTTTCTTACTATTTTCATAGTTTTGCCTTTTCTAGAACATCATATAGTTAGAATCATGGAGTATGTAGCCTTTTCAGATTGGCTTCTTTCACTTAGCAATATGCATTTAAGGTTGCTCTATGCCTTTTTATGGTTTGATAGCTCATTTCTTTTTAGTGCTGAATAATATTCTGTTGTCTGGATGTACCACAGTTTATTTATCCATTCACCTACTGATGGACATTGAGGTTATTTTCAAGGTTTGGTAGTTATGAATAAAACTGCTATAAACATTTGTATGCACTTTTTTGTGTGGACATAATTTTTCAACTCCTTTGGGTAAATATGAAGCAACACAATCACTAGATAATAAGAGCATGTTTAGTTTTGTAAGAAATGGTCAATCTGTCTTCCAAAGTGGCCATATCATTTT